CATCAAATAAAATTAATCCATAAATATATACATACATAAGTCACCAAAAATAAACAGAAGCCCATATCTCTTACATCAAATAAAATTAATCCATAAATATATACATACATAAGTCACCAAAAATAAACAGAAGCTTGTTTAGGATTTTCTTGCAAAGCCACACAAGGACTACCAGCACACCATTCATATCTTTGAACTGATACACTAGGGAAAAAGACAGCTAGTAAATGGCACCCTCCACCAACTCTGGTCTGACAAAATGGGAGATTTAATCTTGTAGTAGATGCATAACCACAAATGACAAATAATGTTACTGAGGCAAAAACGAAATATGACCTTTTACTTTTGGCTTCATAGTCCTAGTAACTAAAATGTGGTCTAGTTATAAATAGGTTTTTATTTTGTAAGAATATGCTGATAAGGGTTTATTATGTGAGAACAGAGCATCAGTCTTGTTTCAAGTGAAACTTGCCATGTGATTAAAATTCCCATTAAACAGTACTTAATTACAGATCAACAATGTCTCGAATATCATTACTGTCATGGTTAGAAACTGCCTAAACACTGTATAAAAAAAAACAACAAACTCCAACAGTAATATTTGGCCAATAAATTTATTTTTACACCTCATTAAACCCAGCTTACTAAAAGCTACAAGCAAAGAGCTAAAATATCTATTATCAAGCATCTGATAAGACCACAAATTCATTAAAATTGCACAAAATTATAAATGGGTAATCACATCAAAAGTAGCAGAATGTATTCAAACATTTACACACACTTCTATTTAACGAGTCAAGCAAGAAATACAAAAACTTATAAATATATATATATTCATTATGTGTATATATATATTGTTAAGCCAGCGATATAATTTCTTTTGGAGAACTAAAGGAGACATGGAAACAGCACTTAAACTTGGCACACGTGAAATGCCAAAGCAAATATCTCAACTCTACTTGAAAAACCAATATTTGCTTCAGTGAATACGAGGTGAACGTTTATATGTTACCAAATTTGGACTAAACCAAAAATCAGATAAAAAAAAACAACCATACAATACTTCTGTTGCCCAAACAACATGTGCTTCTTTTAAGTAAATGTGAACCATGGTGGTGATGGTGGGGGTTAATGTTAGCAGCATTCATTAAAAATACTGTTAAAAAACATCAAAATATCTCTGGTAAAAAAAAAAAAATTAAACTCCCAAACAAATGACCAATTACTTAGCTTTGGATTAATCAGACTTTGAGTCAAGGCCTCTAACAAGGCCACAGTCTTTTTGACAGACAAGAAACAGTGAATATGGACGAAACTCTCAGGAAAACTTAAGAGTTAGTCAAATAAAACAAATATAAGTGGTTTTAAATGTCTCAAATGTATTTTAAAAGACGACAGGTAAATTGGATTCTAGTACTTACTAATCACAGGGAGAGAAGAAAAATATAGAAACTACAAATACTTCAGATAAAAAATAAAAGTTAAAGCAAATACTGAAGTAAATCGAGTGTAAAAGTTGTTTTATATGACAACATACTATTTACAATAATCTTCTTTTTAGATTTACATGACTCCTACAAAAATAATTACGATTATTCACAAATACAAAAAAGTTGCATCAGCAAATCTTACACAAACTGTATATCTAAAATCTACATCCACTGATGAGAGCTTTCCATTAAAAAGTACAAGAATTGGAATGGCACTAAGTTGACATTACATCAAAAAAGGAATTCTCCAGCTTCTACTATACTCAAGAATGTACTGCAAGCAATACTGGTGAAGCCAACAATGGAAAATGTATTTCTGTATTTATACCAAAGTTATCTAAGCCTATCAGCTGCCATCTATAATTTTGAACTGTTGACCAGAAGGTAGAGTAGCCAGTCAACAACACTCTATCCCTCATATAAAGGTATTGACTACCATTCTTATAATACCCTCACAGCTAAAAATGCTGGTCGGATAATATTTACGACATCACACAGCTTTGAACCACCCTGGTTTGTAAGCTCTGAAATATAAAGCTTTACCACAAGGCTAACTGATGGCTTGCCCAATCAAAAATTCATTAATTACATGTTGATTACAGCAAAGTTACAATCTGAAGATTGAGCATCCTTCATTAGAATTAAAAACCATTTCATTTGGTTAAATAAGGATTTTCTTCTGCACATGCATATAAATGTCTGTGGTCAGAATGCTGTTGCATGCATGTCTAATGCATTTAAACATCTAGAAAGTAACTTGAAAAGGTTTCCTTGCAGCTTGTATGACGATGAAAAAACACATGGAGGAAAAATCATTCTACTTGATATTCATAACGAAACACCGAAAAAAAGAGTAAAAGACTTTGAAAACCTGGATGAAAAGTTCTCATCTACACCACTTGAAAAGAAACTTATTTTAAATGATGAGATGAAGAATTTGGTATAAGAGAAGGGAGCCATTGTCTAAAGTCTATGAGCAACAAAAACGATGAAACTGAAGTACAAAAACTGACTAAATGCAAGACAGCCTGAACATGTTCACCTTGGTAAAACTTTAAATGCAGTTGTCAGGTGTAAAGGCAACCTGTTTTGTAGGTCACCATACACCTAGATCGCACGTCTTTCCGAAGCTGTTCTTGATGGTTACAAGTACTCTAGACAGAAATATTTTGTACGAGAAAATGGGGGAGACATGAAGTTGCCTTTTAAACTCACCAGGATAACAAACTTATTTGTGAATGATGTATCTAAAAAGAGTTATTTCAACACTAATGTTCTTTTTCTATTAAAGTCCAAAAAGAGTATCTTAAACCCCAGAAAAATGTAATATTGGTTTTGTATATACTTGGTCTCTGATGTTCTTTTCTGTAAACAGATATACAGCAAGCTGCTGATCTGGTTTTGTATATACTTGGTCTCTGATGTTCTTTTCTGTAAACAGATATACAGCAAGCTCCTGATCTCATGTAACTTTACTTATGACAAGAAAGCAGTGATAAACAGCACAAGTGCTTATTAAGTGTAGAAATATTTTATACCAAATGAAATTACTTTACAAACATGTAAGCTATCATGAACGGTATCAAATTAGATCTTGATAATAGAAATGCTGTTGGTGAATAAACGACAAGTATAAACATAAAATAATGTCCAAGATCGTATTTGTGCACATGCACGTGCTTACCTAGACAAACATGGGGGCTGTTTTAAAGACTTT